ACATAGGAGCCATTCTAGACCGAATCCGAGAGGCCGGACTGACCCTAAAACCCAGCAAATGCCATATCGGTATGGCGGAAGTCCAGTATCTGGGACACCGGGTAGGGAGTGGGCAACAGAAACCCGAACCTGCTAAAATAGAGGCAGTCGCCCAATGGCCTACCCCTCGCACCAAGACCCAAGTGCTCGCCTTTTTAGGGACCGCCGGGTACTACCGGAAGTTTGTGGCCAACTATAGCGCCCTCGCCAAACCCCTCACAGACCTGACCCGCAAGAACCTCCCTAAGTTAGTAGTCTGGGCCCCAGAGTGTGAGCAGGCGTTCCAACAGCTCAAGACGGCGCTGGTTAATTCTCCTGTACTTTCTGCTCCTGATCCAACTAAACGCTTTCTCGTCCACACAGACGCTTCTATATTTGGATTGGGAGCAGTACTGAGCCAAGTTGGACCCGATGGCGGCGAGCACCCCGTAGCTTACCTAAGCCGAAAACTTTTACCCAGGGAAGTAAGCTACGCCGCCATTGAAAAGGAGTGCCTGGCTGTGGTGTGGGCCCTCAAGAAGTTGCAACCCTACTTATACGGGCAACCCTTCACTTTACTCACGGATCACAACCCGTTGGTGTGGCTGAACAGGGTGTCCGGAGACAATGCCAGGCTGCTGCGCTGGAGTTTGGCGCTGCAGCCTTTTGACTTTACTATCCACTACCGCCCTGGGAAGCAGAATGGCAACGCCGACGGGTTGTCTAGACAAACAGACTTGGAGCCGTGATTCGTGAGTACTCCTCCGGACATCCCCAAGCCGATCCGTTGGGATCAGACTGTGTATGCCGGCTTGGTTCTGGGGGAGCATTGTGGCAAACCTAGCCACTCGGACTATAACTGGACACTATGCCTTTAAGGGTTGCCTATAGGTCTGGAGAGAGATGCGTTGTAACTGTATGTGCCTGCTTCATGTATTCCCTGCATTACCTGTACCTATCTGTTCCGCCGAATGCAAATGGCGGTTTGTATGGGGATTCCCGTTCGTTTCGCGAACGGCACTTTGGAGGGCCGTTCGTGAAACGAATGCGATACCCCCTAATAGCCCACACACCTTAGAGGCGTGTGGCGCTAGTTAACCGATTGCAACATTGTTGCAATCGGTTATTAGAGGCTCTCCTGGGTGGCCGTCGTTCGACTACCGACCATGCGGCGGTCGGCCATCTTGGATCCCTGGTTCTTCAGCGGGTCCGTGTCGTCGAACGCATAGCATTACCAACAGTTATTCGACGGCACGAACACCGCTGAGCCTCCAGGACGTTCGGGAGTTTCAGGACCAGGTTCACTAAAAGCAATCGGTTCTTTTCGTGGGTTTGGAAAGAAATGTGTTTTCTGTGCGGCGTTCGGTTATTTTAGCTGGGATCTGAGCGGCAATCTCACGAATGATGCACCCAGACCCCAGCTATCTACCGAACGTCCATTCGTGTAAATCCACCGTATATTATACCAGTTGTAGAATTTTATGTGAATTGCCGGTTCTGCTGCACGAGGGGATAATCCCCTTAACGGTGCATTCTGGGAGGATGATCCCTCTCGTGCAGCGGTGCCTGATGGGAGAAATATGTGGTACTGTAAGTCCCCCATGTAGTCCCCTCCTGTACAACCCCTGTGATGTCAGTTTGGAAACCCCTTGCATGGGGAATGGCATAAATACTGTGACCTGTGATTAAAACCTCAGTTGACTCCCAGCCTATGTGTCGTCTAGTTCTTGGGAAGGAAGGGTTACTGCAGTGCTGTTTGGATTACTATATGCTGATTCCCTGGATTATCCTTTGTTGTTCCTGTTACCCAGCGGAGATATCGTGGATCATACTGCCTCTCCGCTACAGACTCTATTCGGTGTTTGAGTCGGCGGGCCAGCATAGTGTCCGCCTTGTTCCCTTTTTCGTAGAACGTCCGTTTTAGCCACATCAGGGCCTTGGAGGTGTCTTGTTGTGTGAGGGTTTTGAGGAGGTCCCGGGTCGCTGTCAGTTTAGTTAGCGTGGTGGGGTTAGGGTTCTTTTTGTGTAGGGTTTCTAGGCGGCGGAGTTCCGTCATGGCGTCAGTGATTTGCTGTTGTGTGTGTCTTTTTTTATGGGTGGCCAGGCTAATGAGAGTGCCCCTGATGACCGCTTTATGGGCGGCCCATATCGTGGCGGGCGCAGTGTCCGCCTGTGTGTTTAGGTCAAAGTACTCTTTCAGCTCGTTAGCTATTTTGTCGGTGATTGATTTGTCATGCAGGAGAAGAGGGTTCAGTCTCCATGACCATTGTCGATAAATCGACGGTAGAGCGAGGGTGATAGCTATTTCCGCATGATCGGACCATGATATAGAGCCGATTTCGGATTTAGTGATTTGTGGTACTAAGTTAGGGGTCACCAGGAAGTGGTCTATGCGTGAATACGTGCCATGCGGGTGGGAGTAGAACGTGTAATCTCTGGTTGACGGGTGTTGTGCCCTCCATATGTCTATCAGTTTTTGTGAGGCGAGAAATTGGTGGAATAGGGAATCATTCTGCGACGGGCGAGAACGTGCCGTGGCAGTAGAGGTCCTGTCGGCGGCTGGGGTGTGGACTGCGTTGCAATCCCCCCCGACCACGAGTCGCGCAGTCGAGTAAGTGTTGAGGTGTGTAGTCAGTTGTTGCCAGAATGAGGCGTCTGGTGTCGTAGGTGCGTAGATCGAGGAGAAGGCGTAGGTTGTAGTGCCCACTTTCCCCTGTATGGTTACGTAGCGTCCCTGCGGGTCCCTGTTGCATACCACGTCTGAGAGGGGGCAGTTGGCTCTCAGAATAATGGCTACTCCCTTCGTTTTGGAGTCTGGGGAAGGGGCCATATAGCTCTTCGGGTAATGTCTGTTGGTGAGGGGGAAAGCGCGTTGGGCCGTGAAGTGGGTTTCTTGTATAAGTAGGATGTCTATGTTTTGTTTGTGAGCCCATCTTAGTATGCCATGTCTCTTGGCGGGGGAGTTCAGCCCTTTTGCGTTAATAGATACGCACCGTACGTTTACAGGCATGGTGTCTTTGGTCTATCGCTAGGACTCTGGGGTGGGGAGTGTGAGAAGGTTGGGGGCCGCGCTCCCGGGCGGTCCAAGGCCACGGGGATGGGGAGAGGGTAAGTGGGTGTTGGGGTTCTTGTCTATGGGAAAGGCGGGGTTCGTGAGGGTTTTGGGGGTGAGGGTTGAATGTTAGGAGGGGTGATCCGCTGGGCTTATATTGTTGCCAGCAGTATGCGGGGTGAGCGTCTATCCGCTCAGTGGGTGTTCGTACCCTAGTGGTGTCGTGTCGTCAGGGGTTGGCAATCTCTCTAGCAGAGTTGCCGGCAGGCAATGTGAGTATTGAATCGTATACGTTGGTAGGTGGTGGTCGGTCCAAGTAGTGATTGTGACAGTCATGTCTATCGTTCCTCACCTCGTATGAAGGTGTAGGCGTGTAGGGTCAGTGCGTCCGTGCCGCCAGGGTCTGGGGATGTGTTTGTAGCGTATGCTTAACGTTCGCTAGCTCCCTTGTCTGTGTCGCGTCCGGTGTGTCAGTGGGTGCCTTTCATGGTGTGGTCGTGGCCGGGTCCAAAGGAGAGATGATGTTACAACAAAAGAAAATGAGACATTTAGAAAAAATATACATAACATGCAGAACAGTGACAGACATTGCTGCAACAATATGAGTGTACCATAATATGAATTGTCTTTGTGCTCTGGAAGTTAGAGTGCCTCCAGTGATCTGTTGAGGCAGGGGGAAAGGTGCCCGGGGGCGTCCAGTACAGGGTGCCCCGTGTTCGTGCGTTGAGTGGCTTAGTTACGTGGTCCCCCCCCAGGGGTCACCCCCCTACATTATTTTGGCTCGATGTTTGTCTGGAGATAGGCTTGCCCGTCAGTCCAGGATCAGTGGTCTGCGTTGAATGTATGGGCTCGAGTGCAGTAGCATATCTGTGTCTGCATGTGTTTTTTTTTTTGTTGTTTATCCCATTTTTAGTGTGTTTTTTTTTTTTCTATTTTCTTTTCACCCTCCCTTTGGTAGTTCCCTTTGTGTAATTGGCGGGGTGGGGGAGGGGGTCCCCTATAGTGTGAGACTTCTTGCGCATCTTTCCCGATGGGGTGCTTTCCATATGGCTGGGGCCTAGGGACTTTAGTGTGGTGGGAGGGTGTGGGGTTCACTGGCTCCCCAGGGAAGGGCCCGATTCCGTCTGTGTGCTATGTTGTCTGGGGGGCTCTGCTTGTATGGGTTCCCGGGGTGTCTGCCTACAGGCAGATGTCAGTTGCCGGGGTCAACTGGGCGTGTTTCCCACTATCTGTCTAGTGTCCCCCCCCCCGCTTTGATGTCCAGAAACGGGGTTGGCAGCCTGTGTCCCCTGTGGGGGCAGTAGTTTGTGTTTGGCTCCTTTGGGGAGTGTAAGATTAGCGGGGTCCCATGGTTTCTGTGGCCAGCTGAAGTGGGTTCATCTGGGGGTCTAGTGGTAGGATCACTAGCGGCTGGGCCCGGGGGTCCCGGTGGTGCGTGTGTGGTGTTTTTTTTTGGTTTTTTTTTTGTTGTTTTTGTTTTTTTCCCCGTGTTTTCTTTGTGTTTTCCCTCCCTCCTCCTCCCCCCCCCTGTTTTATCCCCCCTCCCCCCACGTGATTTCCCATGCCATATTTGGCTGTAAATGTAGGGCTAAAGCTTAGAGTTAAAACATGCAACGTAAGGTTGCCACATAATTAGTCCTGTTTAGGGTAGAGTCATAGCTTATCTGGTTCCGGGCGACCTGTGGTCAGATAGTTCGTGTTCTCCTGGCGTGCGATGCCGTGGGTCCGGTAGTCTGTGAGGTGTGTTTGCGGTTGTCCTGGCGGCGTGGAATCGGTGAGGGTCGTGTGGAGGGTGACGGTCCATGTCGTAGAGGTGCGGTCATCTGTACGTCTTTAGGTGGCCGGTTGAGGGTGAGGACTGCTGGGAGGTGGAGCCCTTGTCGGGTGCAGTGTCGGGCCCCTTGGAGAAAGTCTTCCTGCTGGGCGTCTGTCAGGCTGTTCGGGTGAGGTCGATGGCCGGAAGGCCCAGGCGTTCCGCGAATGCTGTGGCTTCGGAGATATGGTACAGAGTGTGTACCCGGTTGTTTTGTCTCACTTGTAGCTTGAAGGGGTGGCCCCATGTGTATCTTATGTGTCTCCTGGCCAGCTCCAAGGTTAGGGGTCTGAGTTCCCTTCTCTTGCGTAGCGTGCTTGGAGCTAAGTCTTGATAAAAGCAGACTTGATGCCCCTCTATTTGGAGTGGGTTATCTCTCGCCGCTCTCATCAGCGCTTCTTTTATATGGAAATAGTGCATGCGGATGATGATGTCCCTGGGCTGGGTTGCGTTCGGGAGGGGTGCTTTAAGGGCCCTGTGGGCTCTGTCTAGTAGGAGCTCAGCCGGTGAGGCCTCTGGGAGTAGGCTGCAGAAAAGCTCTCTCAAAGTGGGGGCCAGCATGTCTATTCCAACCGTCTCTGGCACCCCGCGAATTCGTATATTGTTGCGGCGGGAACGGTTGTTGAGGTCCTCTTGGGCCTCCTCCAGCAGGCGTACCTGGTCTTGTAGTGCTGAGATGGCGGTTTCGTTTGTCTGTGCCTGCATGGAGGTGCGGTCCAGCTGGTCTTCAATGGCAGTAGTTCTGCGTGTGAGGTCATTTAGGCTTTCAGTGATGGGAGTCAGGTGTCTGGAAAACTCTGCAGCCATGTTGGTTTTGATCTCCTGCAGCAGGTGCCTGAGGTCAGCTTTTGTAAGTGGTGCTGCGGCTGCCGTGCGGCTGGTGTCACTTGCCGCCGAATCTGAGTCCTCCTCGCGGCCATCTTCCCCACGTGAGCTCTCCTCCCTGCGGGCGCGAAAGATTGGCGCTACCTCCGCGCCATGCTTAGTCTTGCGCCCCCCTCCCATGTCGGGTCGGTGGAGTGCCGTGGTCGGGATGCTGGGGACCGGGTGTGCTGCCCGTTCGTCGGGTATACGTGCCGGTAAATGCTAATGTTGTGCCTGCCGGTACGGAGCTCTAGCAGAGAGCAGCCATCCGCACCGGAAGTCAGGCGCCGCCCCTCAATCACTCCGAGTTTAAACAAAATTTCATCCTCTTAGTTTATAGCCTCCCTCTGGGTTTCAGGGATTCTATAAGGTTTGAGATTAACCCTTTTCCCTGGTTCGGTTATTATGTCATATTTGATCATGTTAGTCTTTCCTGGAACTACAGAGAAAACATCCCTATTTCTTCTGATGAAATCCCTGACCTCTTGCTTCTGATGTATAGACAGAGTCTCCGGTAAGTTCACCTCTGGCTGTGCTATTGGAGGTTCTGAAGATTTTAAAACAACTAGGGCCTCCCTGTCCTTCCAAGGCTTTAACAGATTAATATGATACAGTTGTTCAGGCTTTCGTCTTCCTGGTTGTCTAACTTTATAATTGACATCACTGACTATTATTTCATATGGTCCATGCCAAGTTGCAAGGAACTTGCTCTCCACGGTAGGGACCAGAACCAATACCTTGTCTCCAAGTTGGAACACTCTGACTCTAGCATTACGATTATAGCTGGTTTTCTGAGCCTGCTGGGCTTCCAGCATGTGTTCCCTGACAATAGGCATGACAGTGGCCATTCTATAAGTGATATTTTTTTATAAGTGATATTGCAGAAGGTCTTGATGGTAAGGTATGTCTTTTTGCTGATGATACTAAGATATGTAACAGGGTTGATGTTCCAGTGTTATGGACAGATGAATTAAAATAAAATGGCTATTTACTAATGTCTATTTATTCTGTGTTCCCTATGTTAAAACTGGCTGCAAGAGTAAATATTCCCTTCACCCCCTACAATGTGTTCAGTTGCTATTTCCTCTGTAAATTCCTCATCCTGCTAGCATCCCCCTTCCCATCAGAGCAAGCCTCCTGTAACCAAAATTCCTGTGTTAACAGCTTCCTTTACTAACTCCTCCCCCACTTCCTTTGTGCCAGTTAACAGCTATATGCCACGTGTAACAAAATGGAGAATCACTGTTAAAGTAACTGAAAGAAAGTACTCACTCCCCCTCCCATCGTGTATCCAGGAGCTGGAGAAGTCTGTAATGACGACACTACATCCTGTAGGGGGGGTTTAGACAAGACCCCTTAGACTGTTAACCAATTGTTGAATGTATATTGTATGTTTAACTGTGACTCTGTACATGACGTATTTCTGCTTTAAAAGGAACTCCCACTCCAGGGAATAAAGGCATTCCTTGGTTTTTCACTGATCAGAAACTTTGTCTCCGGTGTGAATTACTTCTAGGGAAAGTGTGCACGCATTAATCAATCAATTTGGAAGGTGTAGATAGACAAATTATCAAAGTTTTCTTTGATCCAAATCACCAGGAGGGATAAGCTAAATGGCAAATGATTTAGGTAAACTAGAAAAATGGTCAGAATTGTGGCAACTGACATTTAACCCCTTAAGACAGGAGGGCGTACTATTATGCCCTATTTTAGGCGTCTCTAGTCACACACACAAACACACACACACACACTTACAGACAGTCTCTCTCTCTCACACACACACAAACACACAGACAGTCTCTCTAACATATACACAAGCAAATAATTAAATCATCCCCCCGGTGCAGCGCAGCCACACTACATAGCAAGACCAGCATTATAGGAGGGAATGTGTGAGCTGTGTTGGCTACATGTCACCCCCTGGTTTTTTTTTTGTAGATTTTTTATTTTTTTTGCTGCATGACGAATGACTACCTCCAAATAAGCCTTTAACCCCTTAAGGACACTTCATGATTCCCTTTTATTCCAGAAGTTTGGTCCTTAAGCGATTAAAGAGAAACTGTACGCACCCAGACCACTTCAGCTAATTGAGGTGGCCACCAGAGGGCTTTGTGCATCGAAACAGATCTTTAGTGCGGTATCTGACGCTGGACGTCCTCACGTTCTGCATGAGGGAGCTACAGTGCCAGGAATACAGCTTTGTATTCCTGGCACTATAGTATCCCATTAACTGTGTGAATTAAATTGATTCAAACTGCTGAAAGGCTTATAGGGAGCTGATTATAATCAATTCTCAGTTGCTTACAACTATAGTGATTTGAAAGAATTATTGCAAATATAAGTCCACCAAGTCATTCATAGTCCTTACAGGAGACTGTATGCTAATGCTTCCACCTGTCCATCCAAGTACATATAGAGTATTACACCACCACCAATACCACCATCATTTCCATCACCTATACCACCAACATTTTTATTAGCTTTAAGCAACAAAATGCCAGTGTACAGGATAGTGTTGCGACAGCTTCCACAGCCACCAATACAAATCCACCTACATCTTCATCTGCCACAAGGCAAAGGGTTGGGCTGATTGTATCACACAATGAAGCAAAGTTTGAGATCATTGTGAGTATCTACCTGTAACATATTCTTCTGCACCCAGTGGCCGTGCGTCTGTATAACTGACTCTTTCAGCATGTTGATGGACATTGGCTGCTGAGCATTCAGGCCAAATTATACCCCCATGTCCGCCCATGTTAATGACAACATCGTGATGTGACACGGGAGGCGCGCGCGCATGTTTTGGGGTCAGAGGTCATTTTTGACCAATCAGAACTGTAAAGCACTTATTTAAACTCAAATTTACTTTTTCTCATTGCCCTGTCGTGGTTTCCCTAGTGGTTGTTCGAGAGTGTGTTCCTGGGTGTTTATATTCTGGTTTTTGACTTTGACTTAGTTTGACTTCCCTGTATTCTGGCTTTCCCTTATCATTGTGTCTCATTCTGTGTCCCCTGATCTCGGCAAGTATCCTGACTATTCTTTGGTGCGTTAAGTCAGGCCATTCTAAGGCCCGATAATGTTACCTATTAGTCCTCAGTGTGACACAATCCAACGTGCTGGATCAATTAGTAATCCTGACACTACAAAGGAGCTTGTCCATGCTCTAGTAGTTTCCCACATGGATTATTGTAATCCTCTCCTAATTGGTCTTCCCAAAAGCCATATTGCCCCACTACAGTCTGTAATGAATGCTACTGCCAGACTGATTTTCCTCTCGGTTCTCTCACACCTCGCCCCTCTGTCAGTCCTTACATTAGCTTCATGTATCCTATAGGAGTCAATTAAAAGTGCTAACCCATACCTATAAAGCACTGCATAATTCCTCTTATATCTCTTCACAGATCCATAGGTATGCACCTTCTCGGTCTCTCCGCTCTGCCCATGACCTTCTCCTGTACACTATTTCACACCCGTATGGCCAACTCACGCTTACAGGACATCTCACGGGCAGCTCCCTTCCTATGGCCATCAGACTCTCCCCTAGACTTCAATCATTTAAAAAGAGCCTTAAAACCCATCTCTTTTGGAAAGCTTATGACCTCCCAGAGTAACCTCTACCTTACATACCTGTCTCTTGCTCTCTCCTAAAGGGCAGCACTCTACTCTTTCCCCCAGCTCTGCTTCACTCCCACCTTATTTGATTGGTATTTCCTGTCCTAATGTGTTTTATACCCAACTTCCTATAGACTGTAAGCTCGTTTGAGCAGGGTCCTCTTCAACCTATTGTTCCTGTAAGTTTTCTTGTAATTGTTCTATTTATAATTAAATCCCCCCTCTTATATTTTAAAGCGCTACTGAATCTGTCGGCACTATATAAATGAAAATAATAATAATAATAATAATCTCCAAGAAAGCTAACTTGCAAAGTGCAAATTGTGCAGCAAAGAAGTAAGTAGGGGCTGAATGAAGGGCCATCTTATTAGTGCTGGTATAAAGCAACATCTGCAAAGATACTCTGTATTACTGAGGGAAGAAGCAGAACAAGAATGTACTAGGTCAGGCAGCAGGTCCACACAGTTAATGGCAGAGCCAGAAAGCGGCGGGGCCAGAAAGCGGCCTGTTATGTCATCATTAATTACAAGCACCCCCAAACCCCCAAATGAGTACATTAGTGTGATGCCTCTCCAAAGCATCCAGTGCTCTCAGGTGGGGGAAATGTACTGTCTTTTTTTTTTTTTTTTTTTTGCACAAGGCTAATGTGTGTGTTTGCTTGTGACTTGTCTCCCCAATAGTGGAATACCAGAGAACAAAAGTGGAACAGGGCTGTTAAAGTGTGTTGTGCATGTGTGTGGATGCTCACAGTAGTGTTGTATGTGTTTGGAGTTTGTTTTGGGATTGCATGTGTGTAGGAGACTGTGTTGTAGTATGTAAATGGTTCTGATTGTGGTGTACTGTGTGTGGCTAGGGGTTGTTGTGTGTGTGTTACTGGGCTGTAAAGTATGTGTGTGTGCATGTCTATAGGGCCTGTAGAGTGTGTGGGCCTAGGGGGGAGGGTGTGCCTGTAAGGGCTGTAAACTGAGTGTATCTAAGGGCTGCAGTGGGTTGCATTGTGTGTGTATGCGCATACAAACTATAGTGCACGTGTCTATAAGTGTGGTATTCTGTGTATAGGGGGTTTAGTGTACATGTGTGTTTAGGAGGTATAGTGTGTGTATAGTCTATGTATAAGGGTATAGTGTGTTTTTATAGGGGATATAGTGTGTGAGTGCATAGGGAGTGTAGTGTGTTTATAGATGTTTATGTGTGAGAGTAGTGTATGTTTATAGGGGGTGTAGTGTGTGTTTATAGACAGTATAGAGTTCGTGTAATGTGTTTGTGTGTGTGTATGTATAGGGGGTGAAGTGTGCATTTAGGAGTATAGAGTATGTGTAAGTGAATGCAGGGGGTGTAGTGTGTGTTTATAGGGGGTGTGGTGGCCACCCCAAGATGATGAGGGGCTTCGCCACCAGAGATGTAATTTTCCCCTATTCAAAGTGATGCTTTCCAAATCCCAAGGTCGGTATAGCTGTATAGCTCTTACAAGAGCTGGTGATTATAGCAGGTATAGCGGTTCTCTACAAGCATGAGATGAGACTCTATGT